ACCTGCTCTGAGCACACCCCACTTAATGGTGAATGTACAAAATTAACTCAAATGGAACACAGATTTAAGTGTAAGACCTAACACTATAAAACAATTAGAAGAAAATACAGGAGTATATCTTCATGACAGTTGATTCTGGCAGTGACTTTTGAGATACCAAAAGCATAAGCAACAAAAGAAAAAATATATAAATTGGAGATAAAATTTCAAATTTGTGCTTTAAAAAGTCACCATCAAGGGCCGGGGTACCAAGAAAAAGTCACCATCAAGCTCAGTGTGTTGACACACACCTATAATCCCAGTACTTGCGAGGCGGAGGCAGAAGGAGCACTTTGAGTTTGAGGCCAGCCTGGACTACATAGTGAGGCCAAGGCCGGTGAAGTACAGAGTGAGACCCCATCTTAAAAATCAAAAGTCACCATCAAGAAAGTGAAGATAACAAGAAAGTGAAAACAACCCAAAGATTTACAGATCACTTCTCTGGTAAGGGACTTAGGCCTAGACTATAATATATTCTAGAATATATAATGAATTCTTACAAGTCAATAATAAAAAGCTAACCCAGTTTGTAAAATGTGCAAAGATCTGAGTATTACTACTCCAGTTTTTTGTTGTTTTTTTTTTTTTTGGTGGTGCTGGGGATCGAACCGATGTTTTGGTGCATATGAGGCAAGAACTGTACCACTGAGCCACATCCCCAGCCCCAATATTACTACTCCAAAGACACAGATGGCCAATATACACAAAGAAAGATGCTCAGTCTCAGTAATCACCAGAGAAATGCAAACCACAGCCACAGTGAGAAACCCTGCAACACCTGACTAAGGTGGCTGAACCAGAGAATCATTTCTACAGCCGCTGGGATGTGAAATGGTACCCTGCTGCTTCAGCTCCCAGGCTGGATCTGGCAGCTCCTCGGGAGACTGAAAGTCAGGTACCCTAGACCTGGCACTTCTGCTCCTGGCAGAGGCCCTTGGCCCCTGGACGTGCTCCTCTAACTGGTACCCTAAGCCCCTCCCCCTCGTCCTCACACTTTTCCCCTCCTCCAGAACTTCCTTTGCTGGCTCACGTGATGACACCTGTGTCCCAACCACTGCGTCTCTGTACCTGCAGTGCGATGGCACCTGTTTTGTGGGGACAGCTGCCTGATCACATCACACCCCGGGCCCACACCTCGTGTCCCTGGCAGAGCTGCTTGCACCCCTGGCGATGCTACTTGGATGTCTAAAAGGCACTTCCAGCAGACACGACTCCGAGGAAGCTTTAGGTTTCTCCCACAAAACCTCAGCCCGTTTCTCAAGTCAGAAACTTGGTCAGCCGCTGTGGTTTCCTTTTCCACCCTCCCTCTTGTCATCATTAATCCCGTCTGATCCACCTACACAACACTTGCGTCCTTTTACCCATTTCCACCACCACCTGTCTGCGCTTCCTCCCTTCTCCCTCCAACAGCTCTGCCTGTGAATGCACAGGCCCCCAAAGGCTGCCAAGGTGGGATGAGGCCCTGTGCGTCCAGTCTACCTCTTGCCATGCCTCTTACTCTATTCAGCCACTCTGGCTCTCTCCTGGCCGGCTCCTTCTTTCTGCTTTTTAAAGGTCTCTTCTTAGCCAGGCATGGTGGTGCAAACCCATACTTCTAGCACTCGGGAGGCTGAGGCAGGAGGATCACTACAGTTCAAGGCCGGCCTGGAATACATGGAGAGACCATCTCAAACCCCCGCCCATGCTTTTTCACTTAGTGCTGAGGAATGAACCCAGGGCTTTAAGCATACTAAGCCCTGCTCTACCACTGAGCTGCTACAGTCCCAGCTCAAGTTTCCATGTTTTGAAAAGCTACCTCCTCAGTAATCTCCACCTGCAATTCCATTTCTCATTGCTTCCTCCACAGCTTTTCTTTCCTTCTTCACAGCACAACTGGAAGGGATTTTGTCCTCTTGCTGAAGTCTCCTTCTCCCAACATCCTACAACCAGAAGCTGAGTGAGGGCAGGAACCACGACCAATCTGTTCGTCTGTGAGAAGCAGCTTGCTAGGCTCCTGAGCAACGCAAGGCAAGCAGAGACACAGGCAGAGACGCCAGTGCCGCATCAGTATCTGCAGGGCTTTCAGAGGAAGGACTCACGGTGACACGCGCCAGAGGGGAGGAGCCGGACACGACATAGCCGCAGGCCTGTGGGCTCCACGGAAGGGAACATCCGTCAGGTCCCGAGTGTCCCGCAGCCCTGGGCAGCTCACGACCCAGAGGGCCCCGTGCTGGGAGTGGGTGGCACTGCTCCACAGGGAGATGGACTCTGCTTGGGTATCAGAGGCTGCAACAGAGAGCCAAGTTCCCTGGGGAGAGACACCTCTGAGCCAGCCTGCTGCTGCCGCCACAAGTACCTCAGGACCAGCCCCGCAGGTTTCTCGAGGCTCAGCTTCGGCGCGGGTCAGCTGTTGCTTTTGGGCCCGGGCAGGCGGCACATCAGGGCGGAGAGTGTGGCGTGCACAGCTACTCACCTCAGGGCAGCCAGGAAGGACAGCAAGCAACTGGCTCCCAGCGCATCTTCAGAGCAGGTCCTCACTGTCCCTCCCACAAGGCCGCCTCTCAAAGGCGCACAGGGTGGGGACCAAGCCTTCAGCTTCTGGGCCTTGAGGGATTTTTAAGACCTAAACCATAAGACAAACCACTTCTGCTTTCTCCACAGCCACTCACAGAACAACTCCTCTACTCCGACCTCCTCTGTCAGAGACCTAAGGCAGGACACGGACAAGGCCTTCAAAGCCCGAGAAAGCCTGGGCTGCGATATTAAAACAGAATTGAGGCCCACTGATATGCATGCTTAGATTTTATTCAACTTTATTAAAAAATAAAACTACAGAAACAAAAAGTGCATGTACAAATAAGCAGGTGGAGGAAACGGTCAGGTAGGCACACACGGGCTAATACAGAAACGGCGACTAACAACTGACATGAGACCCGATTCCACACTGGGCCGCCACAGGGCCGTGGGCACCAGGCTGGCCAGCTGGGCACGCTTCTACCTCACGGGCTCACAGACACTTGCAGGACCAGACGTGAAAAAAGACTACCAACAGCTGTAAGGTGCTCTGGGGCCAAGGGTGGCGACAGCTGTCCTAACAGCCAGGTAACACACCTGCAACACGCCCAGGCCCTGAAGCACAGTGACTGTCACAAGGCACTATGTACAGACACCACGTGCTGGTCGCAGGTGGGACAGAAGCCCTGAGCAAACGTCACCCAGAAGTGAGAGGAGCAAACAGTGGAGCCCAAGACGTGACCACCGCTACCCCACGTCACAGAGCCAGCCTGAGACACGCGGGTGAGGCCCAGCCACAAACCCCGATCCCAGAACACCGAGTTCCTAGGAGGTGAGGTTCTGGGTCCATAAAGCAGAGGTGACCAAGCACTTAGGGAAATGTCCTCAACCAGAGTCACAGGAGCCACTGTGGACATCGCAGGGCTCAGAACTGCTGAAGGATCACCTTCCGTTTCAGGTCCCGGCTGAACTTGTTCATCCTGAAGAGCTCGCTGTCGTAGAAAGCGGAGAGGTTGTGGATGTTGATCTGCCGGGCCTAAAACAGGAAGTGTCAGGGAGCTGTGAGTGATGCAAGGCTGAGCTGTTTCCCAGGGTGTTCCAGTTCCTCCACCGCCCACCAGGCCCGTACCTTGTCCACCAAGTCCTTCTCAGGCACCTCAATCGTGTCCTGCTGGGCCCCAAAGCGGTTGCGCTGATAGGTCACCTGCTCTGCCACCAACTGCTTCAGGATGAAGAGCAGCAGTTCATTGTTGTCTCGCCGGAATGAAAGATAGCGGGCAAAGGTCTGCAGAAAAGAGCACAAGTCAAACGCCACCCCTGCCATCTCTGCTGCAGTCCTTCAGCATAGGCCCCAAGCAACCAGGGCGGGAGCCAGGCAGCACCGGGCAGGATGACTGCCCTAGGGTTCTGGCCAGAGCGCTGGTGTCACCGACCTTCCGCATGCTGCGCATGACACTGAACTTCTGCGTGTCAATGAAGCTCTCCAGCATCACGCGGATGGCCATGTTGACGTCGTCCTCGATCACGTAGTCCCGCAGGTGGATGCGCGCGTGGGCCTCTGCCATGCGGATCATGGACTCAATGTGTCGCACTGTGATGGGGATGCTGCCTGTGGCCTGGAGGAAGCACACCGGGCGTCTTCCTCAGTCAGGATGAAGATAGGAAGGGAGGACAGGGCGGCCAGGACCAAGGAGGCTCAGTGACAGAGATGGCAGGGGCACCAGAGCCTGGGGGTGCTGAGGGTACAGCGTGTCCTTACGACATCTGCAGTGTTTCGAGGACACCCAGCTGGCCTGAAACTCAAGGTCTGCTGTATCTGCAGCCAGCTCTCCTGGTTACCATCACCAATTATAGTAGCAGAACCCTCAGCAATACAAATAAGAAAAAAGTTTAGTTCTATGAAAACTGAGGTGAATGCTCTGGTGGAGTTAAAAGGCACAAAAACAAAAGAGCTGACGCCATGATCCAGAGCGGGTGACACAGAGCCAGCCATGAGAATTCTGGGTGCTGACTGTCCTCGGCTGGCTGCTCGGGAGCCCTTGTTCCACTGCAGATGAACCACCTAGTGCAGACCCTGTGTCCATCTGGGTGAGCTACATGAAGTCACTGAGGAACTTCATCAGACGCCGATGACACTGAGATGAGACAAACACTCTGCAACTGCCTCTGTAACAAGATGCTTGTGGCAAGGAAGTATCTTTCTTCGGAGGTGCTGAGGACGGAACCCCAGCCTAGGGCGCAGCAGACAAGTGCTCTACTGCTGCGCCGCAGCCCTACCTAGAAATCTCCTGGTGCCTTGTGGACTGACACCCTGCAACTGCACCCGGCCTGCCCCGCACTCACCATGGACTCCTTCCGCAGGTCACTGTACATCTTGGCCACCTTGTCCTGGTCCATCTGGTTGAGTTTTGGGTGGACCCTCTCCTTGGCATAGATGATGTACTTCTTCAGCACCTCCTGTGGCAGCGGCTCCACACCGTACGTGCTGGGCACGGCGGGCTCCTGGGCGCCGCGGGCCAGCCCCTCGCCCTCGTTGCTGGGGTGGTGGCGGACGTGGCTGCCAACCACGAAGCGAGCCAGCATCTCGTCCTAGGACGGCAGCAGGGGCGCTCATGAGCCAGGTGCGGTGCGACGGCATCACACTGGCTCTGTGGAGGCTCCCAGCAAGGGGGCAGAGGGAGGTGGGGGGACAGCAGGGGCAGGGCGAGCAGGACTCTGAGCAGTGGGGAGGGGATGGGTGAGGAAACGGATGTGAGGACGACTGCTGGCGAGAACAAGGGGACGAGACTGCACAACAGGCCACCCCGCACGGGGCCACAGAACGGAACCGGACCCGAGGGCTGTACCTGCACAGGGTCCACAGTGTCCCTCACTACACACAGGATGTCGAAGCGGGAGATGATGGGCTCTGTGAGGTCCACGTTCTCCGAGAAGGTCAGTGAGGGGTCATAGCGTCCCCCTGAAACACAAGGAGCATCTGTTGGGTGAGTGTCCCCAGCCTGTCCTTCTCCACCCTGAGCCCCCTTCCCAAGCCCAACCCACTTCCACGCAGGAGGAAGGAAAGGCACAAAGGCACGGAGGCACGGAGGTACGGAGGCGGGCGGGGCCCCCGCCTGCCTCGAGTGACCCCACTGGGCCTGACTGGACAGAGGCAGCTCCCCAGGGAGGACCATGGGGTGGAGGAGACGGCACGGGGCTCTGTCGCTTCCCACCTGCCCAGCTCAGGCAGGGGCCAGACTTCTCCCCAGGGTCCTGAGAACAAACACCCAAGAGAGGTGCTGAAGACCAGACGCCCAAACTGAGCAAGGTCCCCTGAGATCTGTGCCCCTCAGCCCGGAGTCTGAGCCATGCAGGGCCTACCCAGCCCGGCGCACCTATGGGGTTGGCAGCTGCGATGACAGTGCAGCGAGCCTGCAGGGAGGTGACGATGCCGGCCTTGGAGATGGAGATGCTCTGTTGCTCCATGGCCTCGTGAATGCTGGTCCTGTCCTGGTCGTTCATCTGTGAGGCGCAGAGGTCGGCCCTCAGCACGCACAGGACTACCGCTGTCTGTCAGCTGTGCCCCCACTGGGAAGTCCCCACCCTGACCCCCACCCTGACCCCCACCAGACCAGCCTTACCTTGTCAAACTCATCGATGAGACACACGCCCCGGTCAGCCAGAACCAGTGCCCCAGCCTCCAAGGTCCACTCCCTGCTGACCGGATGCCGCTGCACATAGGCTGTGAGCCCCACGGCCGAGGCGCCCTGGCCCGTGGTGAAGATGGCCCGGCTGGATACCTTCTCCACATACTTGAGGAACTGAGACTTCGCTGTTCCCGGGTCTCCACACAGGAGCACGTTGATGTCACCTCGCACCTTGTGTTTCCCACCTAGTGGAGGAGACGGGGATCGAAGTGGAGGGGACGGGAAAGGGGTGCAGGCTCCCGCTGGTGCTGCCGTTTTTGAACCTATGCATCAGCATGGCCAAGGCATGGTCTCTCTAGGAAGGACGCAGGCCTGGGACCGGTGACCCCTCGTTGGCCACTGAACCCAGACAGACACAGGCCTGGGTCCCATAGAGGCACAGCTAAGATGTTCTTCGTGAAAGGGAGAAACCAGGAACAAATCTCCAAACAGAGGGAGAGCTGAGTCTACTACCCAGGTCATCATGTGAAGGAACCATCCTTTCTCCCCAGCAGCCAGGGGTCCAATCTCGTGCTGGAGAACTTAGGAGACTGGCTCCCCAAAGGACACGGACACCCCTGAAGTAGGCAGAGTGAGGGTCCCACAGTGCTCACCTGGGTTCTTGGGTTCCCCTCCAAATAGAGCCAGGGCCAGGCCTCTCTTAATGTCCTCGTGGCCGTAGATAGAAGGCGCGATGCTGGCAAAGATCTGGGAGGAGGGAGAGGACCATGGAAACGGGCCCAACAGGCAGAGCAGGCCATCCATGCCAAGCCTAGGAGCCAAGATGGTGGCCGGCTCAGCACCCAGCCCTGGCTGCTGGGATTCCTCAGGCCCCTGTACCACCCTGCCCTGATGCTGGTCCTTAGCTCTCCTCAAGAGAGCTAGGGTGCCAGCTTGGGCCCAGACATGAGCAGGACTAACAGGGTACATCTGGGAGACTGGCCCGCCAGAGGGCAGGTGCATCAGGGGAGCCTTTCTCAGTTCAATAAGGGAGGCAGAAAGAAGAGGGGGACAAGACACAGGAAAAGCAGAATCTGCATGCGTTTTAAAGACAGAACTAGGGCTGGGGATATAGCTCAGTGGCATAAGCGCCTGCCTGGCAAGTGCAAGGTCATGAGTTCGATCCCTGGTACCGCAAAAAAAAAAAAAAAAGAACTAGAGATAGCAGAGCAGTTCCTTGCTTGCAGGGCAGAGCCTCGTGCCCGTGCACAGCTGCCCCGACTGTTCCCAACCTCCCTGGTGCCTCCTTACAGCACAGCCCCCCAAAGCCAGAGCAGCAGCACCACAAATGGAGGGAGGCCCTACACCACCCCTGAAAAGAAGCACACTTCCCAAGGGCTTTTTGGAGAATGGATGATTCCAGGCCTAGGGCAGGAAATGTACCAGCCCAGCCTGTGGTGCCTTGTACTAAGGCAAAAAAAAAAAAATCAAAAACCAAAGGGCAACCAGAGTCACATCAGCAGGACGGAGACACCACCATGCAGTGTCACAGAGAGGCAGTGGGACCCTGAACACCAGAGCCAGTGACCACAGAGCTGACAGCACACTGATGTCACCTGCTGGGGACAACACTATCTCCTCAGGAGGTCACTGCAGGACCCACCCTCACTCTGAAAACAAGTCAGTCTGGCTGCTCCTAGAAGAGCTCTACCACGGGCAACGCTAGTTAATGCAGAGAAGCTCCTCTTCAGGGAAGCTTCCCAGCAAATAAATGCAGGTCTAGAATAGGAAATGCTTGGAGCAAGCCCTAAAAATGAGTGGGTTTAATGAATGGTCCTGACAGCAGCTACGACACAAGGGAACATCAAGCTGAAGGGCCAGGGTGTGGCTCGGCAGCAGAGCGCTTGCCCAGACAGTAAGCCCCTGGGTTCCATCCCCGGGGGGTGGCGCGGGGCGGGCGAACCTCGGCCTAAGCTCCAATGTCTGACTGCTCATCCACGGAAAATGCGGGTGACAGGGGCCTCCGTACAGGAAGACACAGCAACAAAACAACTGCACAAGGGACCTCCATAAATACCGCAAGAAAAAAGACCCAAGCAAGCCCCTAGATGGTGAGACACATGGACCATATTTGCACAGCCTCCAAGAAGCTATTTTAAAAAAAAAAAAAGAAAAAGCAAGGCCAGGCATGGCAGTCCACACCTACAATTCCAGTACTCTGGATAGCTGAGGCAGGAAGACTCCAAGTTGGAGTCCAGCCTGTTTTACAACTCAGTAAAAACTGTTTCAAACTTTTGTTAAAAATAAAGAGTAGGAGGGGCTGGGGATTTAGCTCAGCAGCAAAGCACCTGCCTGGAAAGTGCAAGGTCGTGAGTTCGGTTCCTGGTACAGGAGAAAAACCAAAAAAAAAAAAAAAAAAAAAAGAGTAGGCATGTAGCTCAGTTGAAAGGTGCTGGGTTCAATCCCCAGTACAAACAAACAAAAAGATAGGGAAAAAGTCCACCAGTATCTGACACTAAGGAGTGGCTCATTATTTTCAAGGTGTGACAGCTGTATTGTGGCTGGGCTTCTACAAAGACCCTTTTGAGAGACAGACGGTGACACAGCCAGTTGAACAAGTGTCCAGCAATCTGAAGTACATGAAGGGCGAGCGCTCACGAAGGGGCAGCAGGAGCAACGCCACCAGCCATGTCTGGCACTGTGCTGTGGCTGGAATGTGTTCCCCAAAAAGTGCATGCTGGAGACAACCCCTGACACCCTGGGCATAACAGAACTAAGAAGGGGGACTTTTGAGAGGTGACTGACGAGGAAGGGGTCTCCTCTCACATGGGCACTAATGCTGTCTGTCACCAGCGGGGCCGGGTCCTCAGAAAAGGCCCAGAGCTCCATCCCTTACTTCCTCTTCTCGCCTTTCCACCCCATCACCCCAGAGAGTAGCCCCTCCACCTTGGGCTTCCCAGAAACAGAACCTTGAGCTACTAAACTTCTGTCCGTTATAAGTTACTGCCTCTCCGCTATCCTGTTGTAGCAGCACAAATGAACCAAGACACAGGCGGGTTTCTTACACTACATGTGGGTGTGTTTAAAATTTTCTGTAACGTTCAGCGGCACAAGCATCTGCCTGGCAAGCGCAAGGTCCTGAATTTGATTCCCAGTTTCCCCCCACAAAAAATTTTTTTTCTGTAACAGCTCAGCACAGTGCTGCACACCTGTCATTCTAGCACCAAGGGAGGCTGAGGCAGAAGGATCGTAAGTTTAAGTCCCACCTGGGCAATTTAGTGACACCCTGTCTCAAAATAACCACTAGAAAGGCTTGGGAATGTCACTCAGTGGTGGAGTGCCCCCAGGCTCCTGGGTTTAATCCCCAGTACTGCAAAAGTGAAGAAATAAAAAAGCATCCTGTAACAAAAATTTTTAAACGTGGGCCAGGCTCCAAGCTGCGCTAAGTGACCCATAGAACCCAATGCTAGCAAAGTGAACTCACAGACTGTTGTACCTGCGTGTGGACTCTCGATCTGCAGTGTCCCCAAAAGCTCAGGCCCTGTGCAGCAGTGTGCACAGGTGACAGGTTTCAGGACGGACTCAGTGGACCAACCCACTGAGGAGCTCACAGCTGAGTGGGCTGCAGGGTGGAGAACGTGGGTACCTGCGGGCATGACCCTGAAGGCAAACTTCGCTCCCGGTCCCCTTCTGTGTCTCTCTCACAAAGGAGGCAGCCTCCCTGACTGCCGGCCACCAACCATCAAGTTCCACCTTGTATCGGCACAAAGCGATGCAACTGGCTGGCCTGGGACTTTTCAAAACCTCTGAAAACTATGTGCTAAAACAAACCCTTCTTCCTGTGAGTTGTTTATCTCAGCTATTTGGTCACAGCAATAGAAAGCTGCGAGGTAACAGCCCCTGGGAGCACACACTCAAGCAGGCCGCACCTTGCATGTGACCATGGGAACGTAGTGGACACATTCTGCTTCAACTTACTCATCAGAGCAACAGGCACAGCTAAAACCGACACTGTAAGAAAGTGGTGGTGAACCTACAGCACTTGTGCCGCAGTGGGCTGTGTCACTGAAAGCTTTAAAAGGCTCGCCATCGCTGCTCTAGGCTCCAACTGTTCTCTGGAAATCGGCTGAACAGGGCCAAGTGGATCCACCATGTGCGGTAAGCACAGTGATCCGGGCTGGGAATGTAGCTCGGTGGTAAGAGTGCTTGCCTCGCACACACAAGGCCAAGTTCAATCCCAAGTACCACACAAAAAAGGTAAGCAGTGATCCCCATTAACCCTCGCTCTGTGTGGGGAAGGCAGGCAGAGCCCTCCATGCGCCTCTCCCGCTCCCCACCGCTCCGGGCTGTGCCAGGGCTGCTGGGCCCTGACCTCCTCGTGCCCAGCTCCTTTCTGTTGGCAGGACAAAGTCACATCCCCCGCCAGGACAGGGCGGCACCAGTACCCTGCTTGCCGTGTGGGGTGGACTCCGCAAGCTCAGTCCCTTCCCCAGACCAGATGCTGGGTCCAGGTGGCCTCTTGTGGGGTTTGGGGCACGAGGAGAGCAACGTGCTCATCCACCAGCCCAGGCGGCCAGGGAACAACAGTGGTGTCTATGTCACCTCACCAAAGCCAGTTAATCAGCCCTGTTTCCCGCCATTCAGAGAGGAGGAAGCTGAGGCTTGGACCAGACTACATTCTCCCGGAGGACAGCCAGGGACACCCTTCCCCTCGACAGGGGCCTCCTCCAAGCCACGGTCACTGTGCTCCACACTGGGAATTCAGGTGCCCAGTGAGGCTCCGGGGGTAGTCACAGGAGGGAGAATGAGCCCTGGCGCCCCCCTCCACCTGCCTTCTCCCCGATCTGCTGGTCCTTGGAGAGGCTGGTGATCATCCTCACATCCTCGTCAGTCAGCTCCCCGACGGCCACCTTGTTGTCCTTCTTGGCCACGTGGTTGGCCAGGATAACTGTGGCAAAGACGGGGAAGCCATTGGCAGTGTTGAGGGAGCCGTCATAGTTGTTGTGGTAGATGCCAGTCAGCTCCTAGGAGGGGGGACAGGGAGGGTCACAGGAGCAGCCACGACCTGCATGCGCCTTCCTGCTTCCTCCACCCTCCCCTAACTCCCACTTTCCACACCGCAGGGAAATCACATCCGAACTGCTAGTGTGGATCTGGAATGTGCCTCAGGAGCACACGGCTAAAGGCTCAGGCCCCTAAAGATGCTGCTGGGACATTTCTGCTGGAACCCAGGAATCGGGCACATAGGAGGAAGTTAGGTTATGGGGACAAGCCCTGAAGGGACACTGGACACAGTCTGTTCTCTCGCCTCCCGGTCACGAGGTGATCAGGCCTCCTGTGCCACACCCCTAGCCACAATGGGATGTCATGGGCCCAAAGCAACAGGGCCAAGTGACCAGAGCAGAAACCTCTAACACTGTCAGCCAGAACACATCTTTCCTCCTTTTACTTGATCACCGTGGCAACAGGAAGCCGATCAACACAGAAACCTGCTGTTCCAAACAGCCGGCCCACCGTGAGGAAGAGGTCTTTGCCCCAGTGGTTCAAGAACTGACTTCAGTCCAAGCTCCTGGTTATCATAACCACAAGAACCCCAAAGGCCACAGCAGTCACTCCGATTCCTCTGCACTTGGCTCCCTCCTAGCCCACCACTGGCCACTTACAATCTCATCTCCTGGCTTACAGCTGTCCACCAGATCAGCGAGGAGGATGGCGTCCTTGGAGCGGGGCAACCGGCCGGCTGCCACTTTGCCTGGACTCTCCTGGATCCGGATGCGCTGGTAGTTTTGATAGATGGTCTGTGGCGGGGGGAGACAAAGAGGACGTCATGGGGCTCTGCCCTGCGTGCTACAGGTCTTGCCCTCTCCCAGGAACCTCCTTATCCCATTATTGACCTTGACCTCAGTCCACAGGAGGGCAGAGAAGCAGTGTTACTATTCCTGCCCCCTAACTAGGAAACCGAGAGCCAAGACAGCAAGGAACGAGCCCATTGTGCCACACCACGCTGGTGAACAATCAAGTCTGCCACCAGACCTTGGGACGTCCCGGCACCAGACTCAAGCACCTGTTTCTGTTTCCACGGCACAGCTCAGCTATGTGAGTGTAGATGCCAGAGCCAAGGCACCTGAGTTCAAATCCTGGCTGTGTATGGAGCCGTGTGACCTGGGCAGGGTACTTCCTCTGTCCCTTTGCTGTAGAACAAGGACGCTGATACTGTGACTGCAAGCTTGTGGGGAGGAGATCAGGTCAGGTGCAAAAATAAAGCGCCTAAAGCAATGCCTGCCAAGGGGAAGTCACACTCTGCGCCTGCGCTGTGCCCCAAGGCCCAGTGTCCACTGTTTCACTTACTGCCAGAAAGGAGGCGGCAGGCTGCAGCTAGGTAAAAGTGTGCCCACGGCCCATGTGCTGAAGGACTGGTCCTCAGCCCATGGCACTCCCGGCAGGTCCTGGGTCACTAGAGTAAGCCCTTATAGGAGACTGGGGACACCAGATTCCTAAATCTCTCTCTGGTGTCCCTGCTCCATGGCATGCTCCCTGCCAGGCCCAGCCAATCGTGGACCAAGACCCAAAACAGCCAGAGCAAACCTCTCCTCCTTTAAACTGATTTGCTCAGGCATTTTGTTACAGGAGGAGAATGCCGATTAACACAGATGGCACAGCTTTAAACCCTACAATTGCATCAAAAGCCCTGGGCTCTAAGCACAGGATGCTCTGTAGCTGGGCCTCAGTCAGTTCCTCCTCCAGACACCAAGCAGAGGTGACAGTGGCACTTGCCACTGTCAAGTCCTGTCACACACACCCAGGAAAGACCCTGTGCATTTCAGCTGTGCTTGTTTATCCTCCAAGAATCACTGCACCAGCTCCCTAGGAGCAGAGCTGAACCTGTCCTGTGACTCAGGTAGAAATGAGGTCTGCACAGACCGAGTGGAGCCCATTGGCCAGGGAGGAGAGGGTTCTGGGAGGAGATACAGCTCTGTTAAATCCAGCCTTGCAGAGGCATCACCCCTGAGCCAGCCGGCAACTCCTAGGCACTTCCTGTCTAGGCGGCTCCAGCTGGAATGACTCTCAGAACTGCACAAGGGGTGAGCAGCGTGTCCAGACCACAGGGTTACACCAGGACGTCCAAGGAAAAAGACACAGTACCTAAGACCTCAAAGCCAGACCAGCACACCTGACACCCCAGCTGCTCCAGGGGCTGAGGCAGAAAGACAGCAAGTTCTAGGCCAACCTGGGTAACTCAGGAAGACCCTGACTCAAAATCATCCCTGTGCGAGATGGAAAGCTAGTGCCCTGAGGAGGGGGCCAGAAAAGAATAGGGCCCTGCTCATCTGTGCTTCAAGAAAAGCCATGTACTTGGGATGTTTTGGACACAACTGCCTGATTTCTGAATACTGGCATGAATCTTGAAACCAGTGTGCAGGCCTATCTGCAGCGGCACCCTGAACTAGCACAAGGGGACCCAAGACAGGAAGGACACGGCCAGCAGGACTACATGCTCTCACCTCCTCCATGTTGACTTCGAAGGGCCCCACAGACTGGCATTCGGGGCAGGAGCCTGGCTTCACCTCCTGGTTCTGCGACTGGCAGAAAGGCCCGAGCACGAAGCTGCACTTGTTGCAGTTGTACTTGACCATGCTGAGCTGTGGCAGAACGCCCGTGCAGCTGGTCACCACGCCACTCGTGCGGATCAGCTGGTTCAGGTGCAGCTGCCTGGGGGGAGCTGGACCATCAGGACCTGACTGGACCCCAAGAACCTACGCCTTCCCCGACTTGGCCTCCCTGTGCACCCTGCTCCGGCCCCCTCTTGGCTCACCTCAGCGAGCGCAGCTCCTCCACCAGGGGCAGGTGGGAGATGCGGACGTGAATGTGGCTGGCAATGCGGTCATATTTGGGGTACATGGCCAGCACCACTTCCAGGGCGGCCTCGTCAAAGATCTGCAGCAGTTCAGCTGGTGCCTCGGGCAGGAAGTAGGCCAGGACGTGCTCGCGGGCCGCCAGATCCTCATAGTTCACCACCAGGCTCTCACGGTTCTCTAGCGGGACAGGCAGAGGTCTGGTAGGGGCCGTGGGGCCCACAAAGGGGCTTCCCCACCACGACGCCCACATGAACAAGGCTGACCCAGCCAAATGGCGACCAAACCTGAACACCCAGCCTCCACCTTCACACACCTTAGCTCTGCAATTTAGATAAGTGACACAACCCAGGCGTTGCCCACTTGGTCTTTTGTCAAGTGGGCATGTCCCAGTGTGGAAAGCGGCTTGGGGGGTAGGCTGGTGAGAGGGAATAGAGGGCCTGTAGTACTACAATCCCAGAAGACCACAAGGCCCAGAGAGAAAACCCACGGACAATCTCTGCCACACAGGAGAGAAAAGGGAGAAGAAACTGCAGGAAACAAGGTCTGTGGGTTCCCTTTAAAGCCAACTTCTACCATAGAAAAGTATTGCTACTTCTTTTGACACAGGGTCTTCATCAGTTACTAAATTGCCTGGTGAGGCTGGAACTCAGAGATCCTCCTACCTCAGCCTCCCAACTAGCTAGGATTACAGCCTGGCTAGTGTTGCTCCTTCCTGATCAAAGTAGCGATCCAAGGGATTGGGAGTGTAGCTGGTAGAGCTACCCCAAATATGACCGCAGCTACATGGTAGAGCACAGGCGTAATTAACACGTGCAAGTCCCCTGAGCTCAATCTCCAGCACTGGAAAGAAAGCTAAAGTAATAACATCAATTTTATCCAAAATCTGCCCACATTAAGTAAATCAAAAACCATGGACTAGGGGTGAGGGTCCTAGTACAGACACTCAGTATGTGTGCATTCCTTGGAAAGGTGGATGCCTCAGCTCCTGCTTAGCTGTGGGCATGTCACCCAATGTTTCCTGTCCTTGTTCCCTGCAGGGACAGGGACACACCTTTGCACATGTCGCTGATGCGCTCCTTGAAGACGTTGTGGCCGTGGCTGTCCACGTGGGTGCGCAGGAAGTTCTTGAAGCGGTGGTGGATCTCCAGCCGGGGGCCCGCCATGCTCACCCACTCACGCACAGAGTGGCCCTTGAGGTCCTCCAGGTTTTCGATGCTCTCGATCATCTCCTCGTCCTCCTCGCCCACCTCCGTGGCCCGCTCCACCTGGCGGCGCTTGCGGCTAGGGCGTTCCTCATCCTCCTCATCGCTGTCTGGGGTGTGGGTGTGGGACAGCTGGGGTGAAGCCTCTGCCGGCATGCTCCAGGCCTCCCTGGACTCCCTCTAGCACTGCAGAAGGCCAGACTTACCGTACAGGAGCCCCCGGCGCATACGGCCCAGGCCCCGGCCAGCCTCTCGGTCGCGCTGTCGCATGACCCTCTCAGCCGCTTCCCTCTGACTGGCTGTCAGCTCCTCCACGTCCTCATCATCCAGGGCCAGCCCTTCAGCCTCGTAGGTATCCAGCTCAGGGATGGCACGGTAGTCCCTGACAAAGCCCCAGATGGATGCAGTTAGTCCCCAAACATCCACCCAGGAACTGGGTTGCTCTTCAAGGCTCAGGAGCCCCAGCCTGACCAGGCCTGGAGCGTCCAGGTCAGGCCATAGAAGCTTCAAAATGGAAACCTAACCTTGCTCACTGACAAAGCTTCCTGCACTGTGTCCCAGTGTTAAAGCTCTATAACCTTTAATATGCGTTCACAAACATTTCTAACACATGGTGTGGTACAAATTAGACACAGTAAGTGTCTGCTGACAGAATCTCAATTTTTGTTTAAAGAGAATAAAAAAATAAGAAAAAACAAAACAACAACAAAAAAAATGGATACAGTCAGGTGTGGTGGCACACACCTGTAATCCCAGCACCAGGGAGGCTGAGGCAGGAGGATTGCTACTAGTTTAAGGCCAGCCTGGGCTACATAGTGAGTTCAAGGCCAGCTTGAACTGCACAGCGAGACCTTGTCTCAAAAACAAAACAAAACAAAACAAGCCACCACCAACAAAGTAGTTGTTCAGGGCTGGGGTTGTAGCTCAGAGGTGCAGTGCCTGCCTCGCAAAGACGCCCTGAGTTCAATTCCCAGTACCAAAAAAAAAAAGCTGTTCAGATTTCCAAACATAGGCATGCAAAATTGATCAAACAATTAAGCATTAACTGTTCTTTCAATAAACCAATAGAGACTCAATCTTGACTCATCCGACCCACTCCCATGAAACCTTTCTTTGAAAAGTCAGCACTTAGCTGCTCCCTAGCTTTCTCAGTTGGCACCTCCCACCATGGCTCTTCAGGAGCCCTCTGGCTTCCCCCGGATGCAAATACAGAGTTGGCGCTTACTCAGTCTTTAGGGTCAGGTCTTTCCCACTTATACACAGCAAGTTAAACAGATCTGCACTGTGGCTCATGAACCTGTCTCCTTGCAGATCCTGGGCCAAGCCACACGCTTAAGAGTGTCATCAGATTCATGTCCCCAGCACCCAGGTCGGGCCACCACACACAGCACTTTCTGCAAAGGACTCCAGCAAAAATACCTCTCCATGCCATCTCCAATCAGCTCTTCTCCATCCTCCTCTTCTTCCATGGGCCCCTCTGTGCCTAGCAAACCCTCAGACTCATCCTCAAAAGGAGGAAGGTCCCGACCAGGGCTGGAGGTCAGGGCATCCGTGCGCCGTGAGCTTCGCCCGGGGCTGGACGTGAGGGGGTCATTGCCTCGCTGCCGCGGGGCAGGACTAGACTCGGAGGATTCCTGCAAGAGAAACGGCGTCTGTCAAACATCTAGGAGGAGGTGGGCTGATTTCACTTCCTTTGGACCCGCGAGGACCCTCCCTGCAGCCTGCGGCAACTCTGTCCCCAGAAGCACCAAACCTCTCCACTTTCAAGACCTTCACGCCTGCCACTCCCTCCCAATTTGCAATGGCTCTGAGCTGAGCCCGCGGGTTTGCTACACATAGGCAGCACTCCCTCTCGCTCCGGTTACCCGCAGGTCCCTGCATCCTGTTCATGAAAACACACCGAGGCCAGGTGGTTTCTCGACCCGTGCACCGTTCATCCCTCCCCCTTCGGCCGACACTCGACCACCTAAGCACCCAGCGTGCGCCAGGTACCCCAAGCGCCACCCAAACGTAGGGCGCCTGGAATCCACAGGCTGGTGACGAGACCGGGCCGTAAACAAAACCAAACGACAAGGAAAAACCACAGGATGAGGTGGGGACGAGGCGGGACTCCGCCAAAAGAGCAGACGGCGCCCAGGCCGGGGCGGGTCGGAGCGACCGCTCGGGTACAAGGAAGAGGCCGGGAGCGTCGGGGCGCCGGGAAAACCCCAAGCCGACCCCGGCCAGCGACCCAGGCACCTGCGGCCCCCTCGCCCGGCCCGCTCCGCGCCCTGCAGGCCCAGCCCGCTCGCTCACCGCCATCACAGCGCCGCGCTCCACTCTGCTCCCGCAACAAGCAGTTTTCCCGCGAAAAGCGCCCCACGTGACCCGCGCAAGCCCGCGAAACGCCGGGAGGGACGCGACGCCATGACGTCGGCGTCGATTTGCGTCAGGCGCGGGGCGTGTGTAGGGGCGGGCTGGAGCTCTGCCACGCCCATCGGGCTGTAGGCCACGCCCACGCCTCTGGTTGCGCGGGGGTCTTACTTGTGCTTTTGCCCAGAGGTGTGGGAGCTGGCGATGCTGGGGGCGGGGAGGAGGACCAGGTCAGTGCCTCACTGCGTGACATTAGCCAAGGTCTGACCCTCTGACGGACCAGGCAACCGAGACCCAGAGCCTGGCTTTCTGAGCACTTCTGCCTCATGAGCAGTCTCAAGGTCTCCCAGAACTTTTTTTTTTGTCTTTTTGAGACTGGGTCTCACTGTGCAGTTCAGGCTGGCCTTGAATTCACTTTGTAGCCCAGGTTGGCCTCAAACTCGAAGCGATCGTACTGCCTCAGCCTCCAGGGTGCTGGGATTACAGGCGTGCACCACCATACCTGGCCCAAAACTCTTAAATACCCAGCCTGTCTGGATTTTGCAGGAAGTCACATCTGAGGTTCAAGTGCGAGTTGTCCTAATCGAGGATGTTCCATAAAAAAGAGTTGAAGCAAGAAGGTCCCAAGGGGGCTGGGGATTTAGCTCAGCTGCAAAAGCGCCTGCCTGGCAAGCGCAAGGTCATGAGTTCGATTCCTGATACCGGAAGTAAAACGAAAAAAAAAATAAAAAAACAAACAAAGAAGGTCCCAAGTTCAAGCCGTCCCCAGCCACTTAGCAATTTAGTGAGACCCTGTCTAAAAATAAAAAAATAAAAAGGGCTGGGGATGTAGCTGAGTGCAAAGGCCCTAGGTTCAATACCCAGTACCAAAAAACAAACAAGCACACAAAAATAAAGTGTGCAGAGCTATGGGGAGCAGAGGACCCTGCAGGAGTGTGGGAGCCATTCTGTAGTTCTGGCAAACAGCTTGGGATGCCAGGGTGGGCGACACTGGCGTTGGAAAGCTCAGATCACAAGAGGTCCGGACGTGTTCTGCGGGGTACAGCAGTGCAGTTCTTGAGTCCCCCTGCTCCCTTTTGGGAAGGGCTGAGGCACTGGAGGCCACTGGGTCTTCCGCCTGTCCCAGGCAGCTCTGGCTGGCCAGGACAAGAGATAGATGTGCAGGAGGTGGAATCCGTAGGCCTCCATGCTTGGGGATGGTAAAAGAGAGGCAGCCAGGACACAGGCTCGGGTAGGTGGGATGGTGGCACCACCACCAAGAGGGGGGCGGGGTCACAGGAGTTCAGAGGACGGAGGATGAGTTTGTTACTGGCTGTGTGGAGAGGGGTCCAGGAGGCCCTCAGACGTTCACACCTGGAACTTGAGCCGGTGTCTGGGCCCAGCTGTGATGGCTCTGGGGCTGGTTAGAGAACCTCCCGCCTCACACACTCTGGGTCACTTACATCATTCTGTTTTCTTTCTCTTCTCTGTTTAAATTATTTTGAGAGCCAGGGTCTCACTAGGTAACCCAAGGTAGCCTTGAGCTTGTGGTGATCCTCTTGCCTCAGCCTGCCCAGGGCTGGTGTTACAGCCGTACACCACTACCCCTGGCTACTCTGTGTCCACTTCATGAAAAATCACTGTGGTTTACAACCAGGTGGACCCAGTAGAACCCCGTCCATGAGAAGCAGCTCTGGCTTCGTGGTCACCGCCTACCCCCTGGCCTATCCCCTGGCAGGCTGCTTTCAGAATTGTGCATGGTTCTCCACTTTGGATGCCCTGCCTGGGTCCAGAACCTGGTCTACATCGTGGTCCTCCCGCCAGGGCCTGTCATTAATGTCACACAGCATTTTCCCATCACACACCTCTAACATCATGGGTTCTGTGGGTCCTATGGCCGTGGGGACAGCCCTCTGCTGTAGGCCTGACTCCGAGCTGGAAGTCTTTGTCACTCAGAGATGTGCAGGTCACAGCAGCCTGTGCATGTGTGGAAATTGCTGCCTTTAGATCCCAAAGTGGCCTGCAAGCACTGTGTGTCCTTCTGGGTGACATAATGTGTCCTTTCCTTTGTGGAGGGTGAACCCTGTATGTCCTGGACTGCTAGGCCCCCTGAGCACTGTCGATATGGCAGCATCATGGGGTTTAGTGCTGCCCTCCAGAGTACACTTAGCTCATGAGGGCAAAGTCTCCCCTTTCCCTCCTTGCTCATCCAGCCTGGCTGATAAAGCAGACCAATGCTGTGTTCTGCAAAGTGTCCCGGCAGCACATCCACCATCAGACTATGCCATGGCCAGGGCGAGAGCAGACAGGCATGCTCTGTGTATTTCTGTGCATTCGAGGTGCTTCAGTCAGGGATGGGAAAGACGCTCCATCAAGGGGGAGGCCACACTCCAAGGCCTGTGGGCAAGGCCTTGACATCAGTAGTACAGTAGCTGAGAATTTGCTTCCATTCTGTGTATCCTTTTTTTTTTTTTTTTCATTCTGTGTATTCTTTTAAAGCCAGACTGATAAATTAAATAGGGATACAGCTGGGTGTGGTGGTGCACACCTGTAATCCCAGCAGTCAGGAGGCTGAAGCAGGAGGATTACCATGAGTTTGAAGCCAGCCTGGGCTACATACTGACTTTGAGCCCAGCTAAACTACATATTGAGACCATCTCAAAAATAAATAAATACGGATACAATTAAATAGAGGTGCAACCCTTAGCCTCAAATGATTTCAGTATTTAAGGGTAGCATTGATCTCTGCCATTTCTTCTGGTCTGTGATTTTTAAATTTTGTGGTACTGGGCATTAAGCCCAGGACCTCAGCACCTGTGCTACCACTGAGTGACACCTTCCACCGTTTTTGTTTTGAGACAGGTCTGGCTAAATTGTCTTTTTGAGACAGGGTCTCACTATGCAGTTCAGGCTGGCCTTGAGCTCACTTTGTAGTCTAGGCTAGCCTTGAACTCGCAACGATCCTCCTGCCTCAGCCTCCCGAGTGCTGGGATTACAGGCGTGTGCCACCACACCTAGCAGGTCTGGATAAATTGTCCATCCTGGCCTTGAACTTGCAATCTTCCTGCCTCAGCCTCCCAAGTAACTGGAATTACAGGCATGGGCCAACACACCCATTTATGATACTGTTTTTTACTATCTTTGCTGAGGCGCTGAGTAACGATGTTGGTGTTTTGGGGCCCTTCCCTTGACTTTGAAACCACTTATGAAAATTCTCACCCTGCAGACCAAGGAACCAGTGTGGCCCTCCTCCCTGTGACACAGCCTTCTTGGTCCTACAGAGATGGAACCCACCTGGCTTCTGCCCCGCCTCTAGCATTTGGGATGGCTATCCTCCTCTCTGCCAGGAGGGGGCGCCATTCTACAACAGCGGCAACATCTGTCTGTCAGCGGTGGAGTAGAGGGTGCTACCCTCGTGCTTGGTGTCCGCAGGAACAAGACCTCAAGAGTCAGATCTTTATCAAACTACCATTTATTGAACTTCGTGGATGCCACACTCTCTCTGCTCTCAGACCTTCTCCCTACCAGAAGCCTGTACTGTGCGTGTGTGGGTGTGTGCGCGCACGCGTGGGTGTGTGCGCGCACGCATGTGTGTGATAGAGCACACTCTCGAGAGAAAGGGTCTCCCTATGTAGTTGAGATTGGCCTCGAATTGGCAGCGATCTTGCTGCCTCAGCCTCCCCAGTGCTGGAATTAGAGGCGTGTGTCACCACGCTGGGCTCAGAGGCCTCTACTCCTAAAATGTATAAGAAAGGTGGTCATCGGGCCTGGTTACAGACTCCCTCCTTCCTCGCACCTGGTAGAGGGTGAGTTCCTGCCCCCTGCAGGATAGAAGCGGCTTAGGGACTGGTTTTATTTTGCTTGGTACAGGCCGGCAGCAGGTGTGGACTTGTCGGCAGGTGCTCAGGCCTCTGCTGTCTCTGTGGCCCCCTGGGCCTTGGTCATCGGTGACCTCAATAGCAGGCTCACCCAGACTCTCCAGCAAACACGGAAGTAGCACAGACTCTGCACCTCCGACGAGCTCCGGCCCTGGGAGGCCTGGTGAGTACCAAGTCCCATGGTGGCTCTGGTCTCCTTTCGACCGACTCCCCAAGCCTGAGCACTGAGATAGAAGAGGTCGCCCTCCCACCAGCCCACGTGCTGTCCCGGGTGACTTCATCACCGAGCGCCCGCGCTCTACACCAGGCGCTGAGCCGGCCTAGGGCTCTGCCCCGGTGCCACTGACAGGCTGGGCTGCCCCGGGGAGGCGGCAGGTGTCTGGGAGGGTCATGGCAGGGAGAAAGTTCACTTGGAGGAGGCCTCAAAGGTGTGACAAGGACCCACGGACGCAGAGACCCAGGGACAGAAACGGATACTGAGCTCGAGGATGAGGAGGCAGGCAGAGGCAGGATGCAGACAGGGGCAATCCTGGAAGGCTTTCAGGAGGAAGGGGCCCGAGAAACTGCAGTCTCAGCTGGGGGAGGGTTGGGCCACTTCCCAGCTGTGTTATTTAACCCCTCGGAGCCTCAGGTTCCTCCCTGTAAAATGCGGCTCCTAGCGCAAGGCAGGAGTGAGTGGCTGCCACTGCGGTGCCCCATCAGCACAGCCAGGCACTGCGCGAGCAGGGAACGCCAGCACCCCAGCCTAGGTGACCCGAGGTCGCTCAGCCGGCACGCGAGGGCAGTCCCCGGACGCCCCGCCCCGGGCGGCCCGCCGAAGTCCTGGCTAGAGGCGGAGCGCCGGCGGCCGCGCTCGCGGCTGCTGATAGCTGCCAGCGGCTGGAAGACGCGGTGACAGAGTTAGGGCGCCCTCTGCGAGCGAGTCCGCGCGACCCGGGCCACTTTCCGGGTGAGAAACCCGCGGCTCCGCGTACCCGCGTTGTTTCTTTAAGAAGTCAGCGGGACGCCCCGCCTCTTGGGGCTCTGATTGGCCTCTTCCGATCCTTTCAGCGGAGACTGATTTTTATAGGCTACCGTGGGCCGGGGGGGCGGGCCTGAGTGCTGCCAGCAGGGACTGTGGCTGTTTTCGTAGTTTTGGCTGGACGAAAAAGACCGTGCAGCCTGCCGGGTCGCCGCTGCCGGGAAGGAGGGCGGCACGGTGTCCTCGGGATTGGCGGACCCCGCGCGCAGGCCACGTCTCACCGACCCTGTCCCCTCCCCTTTCCGCGTAGCCCGCTTCCGCGCCTCTTGCGCGACACTCCCCGCCCCCGCTGCTGACCCGGCCAGAGGCACAGACCTGCGGCCTGCGCAGTCCCCGCGGCCCCGGTCCATCCGGGGGCCGGGCTGAGCGCGCCGGCTCCCAGGTAAGGAGGAGGCGACCCTCGCCCCGGCCTGCCGCGGTGGGACGCCCCACCGCCTCCCCGCGTCTTTCCCACGCATGTCTCTTCCCACTTCCGCGGGCAAAGCCTTGGGGACGCTTCCGAGCGGCCCGGGGACTCGCGGGCAGCGGGCAGGGGTGCCGGGCACCCCCAGGGCCCGGGAACAGGGAGAGCTGGGCTGGGGGTTGCGGCCCGGGCCGCGACAGGGGGGCACGTGCTGGGAGGGGCTGGGGTCTCCGTGCGCGACATCGGTGGCACTGCCAGCCCGCCTGGAGCCGAGCCCGACCCTGGCCCTGGAGTGCCCGGGGTCCTGCTGTCCAGGGGGCCCTGCGCGAGCAGAGACCACTTGTCCCTCGTCGTCTTGTCCCCTTGTCCTTCGCGCTGAGCACCAACTTGGCCAGCGCTGTGCTCGGGAACCGGGTCACGAGCCGGGTCGGGAGGCGCCGGACGCAGACGGTAAACACCTCCAGGGCGGACTGGAGGCACAGGTGGGCTGGCCGGTGTGTCACCAAGGAGGCCGCAGCAGTGGTGACAAGAGCTGGGCCTGGGGGAGGAGCCCGAGCGGGGGACGGCTTGCACCACCGCGCCGGAGTGGAAGGAAGGAAGGGTCGCGGAGCGGCCGGCAGGGCCTGTCCGGCCTCACTGGGCCTCACCTTCTTCCTGGTGGCTCCTGCCTGGGGTGTCGGGGTCCCCCCTCTAGGACAGCGTCTCCTTCCTGTTCCCAAGGCTGGAGGATAACAGGGACGGACAGCAGAACTGGCGTCTCTCCCGTAGTTTGGGTGCAGGGTTTGAAAGCTCTGTATCCCTGGAGCGGTGGGAAGAGTTGGGGACCCTGCAGGGCTTCGCGTCTGCTCACCCTGTGCTGCTGGGGGCTGGGTGCAGAGGGCAAGGCCCTCGCTGGGAGGGTGTGCGGTGCCCGGGTGGGCGAATGCTAATGCGCGGCACACTCTTCCCCAGGGGAAGGAGCCATCCCTCCCACTTCCTCTGGTCACTTGCAAGGCCTGCGGTTGACGCAGGGGACGTGGTGTCCCTGGCTCCTCCACTGCAAATGCCCCCTCCCATGTGGCCGTTGGCCCCACTCCTTCCTCTCCCAGCTTCCCCTTCCTCCTGAGCCACCAAGCCCTCTCCTCTCACCACTGCTGGGATGTCTGTCCCCAAAGCCAGGAGCTCGCGAGGGAAGACCCCAGAGCACCAGGCAGGGGGAAGGGAGTGTGGCTGCTCCCGGGCCAACAAACAACCCAGGCAGAGAAGGCCGGGACGTGCTCTTTGTGTGCCTCCCCTTCCCCGCTTTTTGTGGCGGCACAAGTCTATCCCTCTGATTTAGAGCCTGGACAGAGCCTCAAGAGTGTCATCGGGTATAAAGCACCTCACGCTGATCCTGCCCATAGGAAGTGTGTGTCATTGTTGGTTTTTTGAGACAGGGTCTTGCTCTGTAGTCTAGGCTGGCCTTGAACTCACAGTAATCCTCCTGAGTGCTGGAATTACAGGGTGCTGGGATTACAGGTGTGCACCACCACGCCAAGCTCGTATTTTTTTTTAAAGAGGCATAAAAGTATTCATTAGGCAGGAATTTAAAAGACATAGAAACGGAAGTTGTAGTCCTTCAAGAGAAAGAGGCGCATTACAGTATTTTCTGGAGCTGGGAACATTTATGTTTTTCTTGAGAGAGTGGAAAATAGAATTGAGTCTGTAGAAAGTTTCTCTTGGGTCTTGGCTTAGGAGAAAAGGATGGCCTACCCATAGAAAGATAACGGCCCATTCATAGGGAAAGATCTAATTTACAGGTCAAAAGGGGTGGTCTGTTTACAGTGGAAGTGACCCTCCTGCCTCAGCCTTCCCAGTACTGGGATTATTGGCTGGTCCTGTGCTACACAGGAGGTCATGATACAGGAGGTTGGTGCAGGGGGAGCAGCTAACACCCTCCTTTTGCCTTCACCCCACAGCATCTGGACCCGGGAATGGACCTTTTTCTCTTTCTCCCAAGCCCCTCCTCTGGTAAGAAAAGCAGCAGTTATCCTGAGTGTGTGTTGCTGGTATAGATACTGACTTAGCTGGTTTTCTTTATCCTCATGGTGACCTTGCTAGGGAGGTGTTACCATTCCCATGACACTCAAGCAGGGCAGTGATTCACCCAAGGTCACCCAGCAAGCACTTGGCAAGGCCTGAAGTGCCCACATTGGCTAACTCCATAGTCTGGGAAGCTGGAAGCTTTCAGAGAAATGGGGATTTGTGGGATTTGGTGGGAAAAGGCCAAGAGGTGGGATTGGTGTCAAGTGTGGCTATGTCCTGAGGCTCAAATGAGCTCACAGCCTGCCTCCATCTGTCTCTCAGCCTAGGGTACCTCTGCGTTGGCTTTACTCCCAAGAGCGTTCCCAAGCAGGGGACTAAAGTGGTATGTGTCTCAGTGGCATCTCAGCAGGAACAGAGTACAGTATCTATTTCCTGATGATGAAAACCAAAGTCTCAGGGCAGATTCTCATTGGCCAGGGCAATTGTGTGTCGTGATTGGCCAGGCTTAGGTCATACGCACATCTCTGGTTATGAAGCAGCAGAGCCAGCCATACCTGCCTCACAGACAAAGGGATAGTTGGAGTTTCCCTGGGAAAAGTGGGGTCTTCCTGCTGGCTGACCCGCTGCTCTGTCCCGCCTACCCCACTGGTTCAAGCCACTGTCCCCTCTTGGGACACTGTTACCATATCTCCTCCAGGTCTCCTTTCTCCCATTCTGCATTCTCTGGTCTCTCCCCAGAACGTTCTTTGTTCAGCTTTTCCCCATGGCTGGGTCCTTCTCAGTTATTTAGATCTCTGTTCTGGTGTTACTTGTCTGTCCACCCACTCCAAAGCAGTGTCTTTATAGTCCTCAAGGTTCTAGTGTAGCTCCTGAAACAAGGCCAGCGTAAGAAGAGAAGATGACTCTTGTCTGTTGCCTGGCAGTCTGTGCAAGCAGCGCAGGACACGCACGGAGGGACCTCTTGCAGCTGCTTCTCATTGATTTATTATCCTCAATACAGATTTCTGATCTTGTGATCTAATGTGGCTGCTCTTGCTCCTACCATCACATCCACATTCTAGCCAGTGGAAGGGGCAAGCCTCACTCTGCTCATGTCCAGTTGTACAGAACTGAGCCACATGACCACAGCTAGCTGCAGGAGAAGCTGGGAAAAGCCCCACTGTTCTGGGAAGCCTTGTGCTGTCTGCTGCTGAAGGGAGGGTAAAGTCAGCCCACCTGATGAGGCCTGCTTTCGCTTTTCCTTCCTTCCTGCCAGAGCTGGCACTGGCATCTCATAGCCCAGGCTCATGGAGAGGATGTCCCGTGTCCCCTCCTCCAGTGCTGGCCCCAAGTGGCCGTGACACACAAGCAGTGCAGATCATGGTGCAGCGAGGCCTTGTCACTAAGAGCGCATTTCCTTTCTAAAGTTTGCCGAAGCCAGGAATGGTGGCAAGCACCTCTGACCCGGAGGCTGAGGAAGGAGGATCCCAAGTTCAAGCCCAACCAGGGTTCAGCTACTCAAGGGGACCCTCTCTGAAAGCATAAGAAGGGCCTGGGGTGCAAAGGGCCTGGGGTCAACCCCCAGTACTGCAGAAATATTCCCGAGTATACCTGCGATGTAAGCACCATAGGTGCTGTCCAAGGGCTCCCATGCAGTGAGCAGCCTGCACACCTGCTGCCCTGTGCCTGTCCCCTAGTGGGGACACCCAGGACCTAGCGTGTCCTTAGGGATCCCAGCGCCGGCTGCAGTCTTCTCTTGCCTGCCACCTAGTGGTCAGTCTTGGGAATGCGCTGCTGTTTTCTGGCGGCTGTGCTGTGGAACTGGAGACCCGGTCGTCCTGCCACTGTGTTAAACCAGCGTCGCAGATGTCCACACCCACCAGGTCTTGGCCCGGCTCACCTTACCCTTGACTCCTGGACACTCGCCAGGTCCCTGCTCCTTTCCCCCGAGCGTTCCTTGACCTGTGAGTCCGTGTCCCGGTCTTCCAGTTACTGCACCCCATCCCCTAACCCCGGGGTGGCCCTCAGGGCCGCAGGCCATGGCTCTCCTGTCCCCAGATCACCTTGTGGGCACCTGGCCTGCGACGGCTCCCCCGCCCCGGGGCGGCGCCTCTGCTCTCCCACACCTGTCTCCACGTGGAGACCTCTGCTGTATCCCCCTAGCCCAGCCCCAAATCCCCTGGGTGGTGATCACCGCCTGGTCCTTAGCTGCTGCGTGACCTCAAGGGGCTGCGGAGCGGGGCGGCCTGTGCCCAGTTCTGCACGGTGTGGCAGGCAGGGACACCGAGGCACAGAGTGGCCCGGAAGTCAGGGGCAGCGCCGGGATCTAAAGCCATAGCCCGTGCTCCGGACCTCTCTGCCACCACCTGCGTGTTCCCAGGCCCCTTGGGACCGAGTGGGGCGGGACAGGGTGCTGCTGAGCAGCTGGTGTTGCTGTGCCTGGCACTGGAGGATGCTCAGGTGTGTGTGTTGGGGGGTGGCCTGTGTCATTCGAGGCACATGCAGTGGAGCCTGAGACAGGGACAGAGCCCCTGCCCGCAGGGCTGGGAACCCCCACCTGGCTTTCCACAGAGCTGGGCCCCTGGGGGCAGGGCCGAGTTCACCAGTGCGGCCTGGCCTGCTTTGCCCCAGGGTCGCAAGACCCAGAAGCTGCTAACCAAGGCGCTCTGACACCGCAGGGCCGGCGCCCGGTGGGATGGACACCCCGGAGTGGGCGATGTGGGCCAACAGGAGCACACCGGTGCCCCCGCCCCAGGCGCAGAACATCAGCCTGCCGCACCGCTGCCTGCTGCTGCTGTACGAGGACATCGGCGCCTCCAGGTGAGGGCGCTGCGCGTGCGGCGGTGGCTCCGCTGCGTGGCGTGCGCTTGCTGGGCCGGTTGAGGGGCGCGGGCAGCGCGGACTCGCCAGTGAGCCCACTTCCGTGCCTCTCCAGGGTCCGGTACTGGGACCTGCTGCTGCTCATCCCCAACGTGCTCTTCTTCGTTTTCCTGCTCTGGAAGCTCCCGTTTGCTCGGGCCAAGATCCGCCTCACCTCCAGCCCCATTTTCATCACCTTCTACATCCTGGTGAGTCTGCTCCACTCCAGCAGCCTTAGACCAAAAGGGGGAAGTAACTGCCGCGGTGGTGCACACCCCAGCTCGGCCTGGCTGGCTCTGTCTCTCTGCCTCTCTGGCCTGAGCTCAGTGAGCGCCCCCGTGTGGAGACAAAGACGGCCATCATGAGCAGCTCGGCACTAAGGTCTCCTCCAGAGCTCCACTTCCCTGGAGTTCCTTGTGGCCAGGGAGGGGAGAGGGACTGTGGAGGTGGAGGGGGCTCAGCTCAGCCACGCGAGGCAGGTGTCCGCAGAGAAAACTGGGGAATGGTTCTAGAGGGCAGGGGATGGGGACGGATGCTGGGCGAGGAGACTTCGCAGCCGTGTTGTCACCCGTCATCGGTCTGTCCCTCCTGGGAGACTTCTCGCCACAGGGAGAGCCTGACTTTCATTATGTGATGGCGCTGGTGTACGGGACAAGGTCCAGGGCTATGGTTGGGAAGGCGCCTCCAGGTGTGGGCTCCCCCGGTGCGGCTGCCTGGCTCCCTCCCTCCAGGTCGGAACCCTGTGGAGTCTTCTCCACCCTGGGGTGCTTAGGTGAGCTTAGATGTCACCACCTGAGAGCTGAGTGGCTCCCAGACCCTCGTGTCTGGCTCAGACGGGCAGGCAAGGGCTGGGAGCCCTGCAGGTGTTCCCAGAAGTCCAGGCCCTGGGCAGTTGCTGCCCTCCTGGCTCTAAGAGGGCGGGGGCTAGGGCACTCCAGGTCTGCTTTCTTCTCTGCCTCTGACCACTTACTTCTTGTGTATTTATTCAGCAGACACTAAGCACCTACTACAGGCCAGGCAGAGGTCCTCTTTGGGGAGCAGGCAAATCCACGGCCACACCCCAGGGCAGGGCAGTCTGCATTCCCAGCCCGCTTCCTCTTGGGGACCTTTGGCCGCAGAGCCTGGGAGACAGTTGGGAGAGGACTCCGAGCCCTGGCTGAGTGGCTGTGTGACCCTGGCCAGCGGCTTGCCCCGCTGTGCCCTCCTGGGTCATGTGTGTTAGGTCTGCTTCGGCGGGTGGTGTCCTCATGAGCACTGATGGAGACCTCAGTAGGCACAGGCAGCAGTTACCTTTGCAGCCTGCCCTCTGCGTGGTGTCAGCCCGCGTGGCTCAGGCCGTTTCCAGGGCGCACTTGTGCCACACTCACCCCACAGTGCTGCCAGCAACCAAAGGCAGCAGGTGCTGTTTTTACCCTTACTTCACAGAAGGGAAATTGAGGCGTAGAGGTGCAGCCAGCTTCCTGGGGTCACAGTGCGGAAGCAGCCTGTCTGGCTCCACCCCGGTAATTAACTGTGCTGGCCAGGAAGTTGGGGTGGGGGCAGAGGCAGCCGTGAGATCAGTGCAGTGGGGGTCTCTTGCCCCCTGGCGCCACTGCCAGCCTCCCTGCCTCCCACTCCGACGGGTCCCCTCCTTCCTTGTGGTCAGGAGGGCTCCTGCAGAGTGTTTGAGCTTGGCGGCCCAGCCCTCCCAGGCCTCGGCTCCCTGACCTCCGCCCGTTCCCTGCCTGCCCCCAGGTGTTCGTGGTGGCCCTGGTGGGCATTGCCCGGGCTGTGGTATCCATGACGGTCAGCACCTCCAGTGCTGCAACAGTGGCCGACAAGGTGTGTCTGGGCCGGCCCTCGGGGAGGGTGGGGGGGCCGCTCAGACCCCAGGCTGACCCGCCCGTCTGTCTAGATCCTGTGGGAGATTACCCGCTTCTTCCTCCTGGCCATCGAGCTGAGCGTGGTCATCCTGGGCCTGGCCTTCGGTGCGTCGCCTTGGGGGTCCCCTGTCCCGCCCCTGTGAACTCTGGCTGAGCTGACACCTCGCTGGGCTGTCTGCCCCCGGCTGAGCCACGTCTCTTCCAGGTCACCTGGAGAGCAAGTCAAGCATCAAGCGGGTGTTGGCCATCACCACCGTGCTGTCCCTGGCCTACTCGGTCACCCAGGTAGGAGGACGGTGCCAGGTTGGAAAGTTCATCAGGAGCAGCTGGTAGACTGTTAGTTCCCCTGCGTGCCTGTCCCCAGGCAGGTTCTGGAGCCTCCACTAGAGATGCTGAACCAGGGCGTACAGGTGTGGGAGGGGGCGGTGCGAACCTGTCGGTCACCTGCAGCCCAGGTAGGAAGACGCAGGTGGGCGGAACCCTGGGAAAGCTGCGTAGAGGCTGAGGGCCGCACCTCACCCTGTGCTGCCTTCGCTCAAGCGGGGCCTGTTGTGGGTGCTGGGGTTCGGTGGGCAGGATGCCCTGGGGAGCAGGCAGGGGGGCGGGGCGAGATGGAGGCTCAGAGGGGCACTGCGTCAGAGAAGGCCTTTCCCCTGCAGGGCACCTTGGAGATCCTGTACCCGGATGCCCACCTGTCTGCCAAGGACTTCAACATCTACGGGCACGGGGGCCGCCACTTCTGGCTGATCAGCTCCTGCTTCTTCTTCCTAGTGAGGGCTGGGGCCGGGCTGGGGCACGGGAGGGCAGTGCTGGGCCGGCCCCGGCGCCCCGCGCCCCCAGCCCTGTCCTCTCCCCGCAGGTCTACTCGTTGGTGGTGGTCCTGCCCAAGACCCCGCTGAAGGAGCGCATCTCCCTGCCCTGTGAGCCGGCCTCCGGGGGTGGGGGACACGGGGCTTGGAGGTGCGGGGTGTGGGGCGGAGCCTGGCCGGTTCAGCAGGGCCTCAGACGCCCCCTGCCCACAGCGCGGAGGAGCTTCTACGTGTACGCGGGCATCCTGGCGCTGCTCAACCTGTTGCAGGGACTGGGCAGCGCGCTGCTATGCGCCAACATCATCGAGGGGCTCTGGTACGCATGCGCGGAACGGGGGCGTGGTCGGGCCGGCGCAGGGGCGTGGCCAGGGTGGGTGTGTGGGGGCGGGCCGGCGCCGGCCTAACCTGCAGCCTGACTGTCCATCACCCCGCCCGCACAGCTGCGTGGACGCCACCACCTTCCTCTACTTCAGCTTCTTCGCTCCGCTTATCTATGTGGCGTTTCTGCGGAGCTTCTTCGGGTGAGTCCGCCCGGCCTCCTTGCTGCTCACCGCCCCCGGGTTTGAGCGCTTCGCGCGCCCCCTTGTGGCTACCGGCGGGACTGTCACTTGTGTGCGCACGCTTGCGCGGCTGAGTGTGTCTCTGCACCACGCATCTGCACACACTCCCACGTCCGTACTGCGGAGAAGTGCGCACGGACAGGCACATGTTGCCACACGAGCGCGTAGCTGGCAGCACTGCCTATCCCTCAGTGACACACTAGTCCTTTGCGGGGAGGATGGGTTGAGTGCCTGGTGTGTGCGCACAACGCAGTACCCGCGAGACCCCAGGCTGCCCGGAGCCCGCGCTCCAGCAGGGAGGTCCAGGCCGGGTGTGCGTGCACCGCGGGGCAAGGGCCTTGCGAGTGGCGGGTGTGCAAGGGCCGGGCATGGGAGCGGCAGACTCGGGATCCGGCTGGCTCGTCCGCAGGTGTGGTGGGACAGGGGCGGGTGTTTCGAGGCCGCTAGGTGGAGCAGGGGAGCTGCAGAAGTGACCATGTGGTCTGAACTGGATCCCACAGTTTCTCTCCCCCGCCTCTGGTTCCTTTTTGTAAGCTGGGAGAAGCCCCTCCCCTTCCCATCCATCTGAGCACTGAAGGACCAGGGAAGGCGGAGGGGACAGGGTCCAGGGAGCGGGGCTTGGCCCCAGCCTGGGTTTCCAGAGCTTTCCTGATCCAGAGTTGCCTGCTCCGGCTCCCAGGGCCCAGCGAGGCCAGGTTCACAGCCAGGCTTGCTGGACTCGAGCACCGGCTTTGGACCGCTGTGAGCCTGAGTCCTAGAGACCTGCGGCCTCTCAGTGCCCCTCACTCCCTATCTTTTGCCACCAGCTCGGAGCCCAAGATCCTCTTTTCCTACAAGTGCCAAGTGGATGAGACGGAGGAGCCTGACATGCACCTGCCCCAGCCCTATGCCGTGGCCCGACGGGAAGGCGTGGAGGCTGCCGGCGCCGCCAGCACGCAGTTTGACTCGGCGGGGGTGGCCTACCTGGACGATGTGGCCTCCATGCCCTGCCACGCCGGCAGCATCAATAGCACGGACAGCGAGCGCTGGAAGGCCATCAATGCCTGAAGGGCTGTGGCTCAGCCTGGGGACCCGAGGGAGACCTGGGAGGGGGTCAGGGCCAGCCTCCGGGTGAGGGACGTGGGGCTCTCTGCACCCTGAGTCTGGAGGCCACTTCCTGTTGTCGCCCTGTGCTCCAGCTGGACTCCCTTCCTTACTACCCAGCCGTGCCCTGCTCGTCTCCCAGGGCACAGCCTGCCCCCCAGGATGGCTGCCCGACCTCGGGGTGTGGTGGCCTCAGAGCCCGCTGTAGGGGACAGGCTGCAATGTGTATATTTTCATGATCTATTTTTTAATAAAAAGGAAAGAGGAGGTGTTGCCGTGGAGGTTTTACAGGGATGCAGGGGCTGGTTGGGGGGCGCAGGTGGGAGCTGCAGGGGGCTGGGGAGTGCAGGCCAGGTGGGGAAAGAGAACATCCCACCGTTTCAGGAGCCTGCATCCCTCTCACCATGTTAGCGGGGCTTGTGTGGGCCTGCGGGTCCTGTGTGTCCTCCCTTTCCCTGCTTGGCCCCGGTTTTGCTGTCTGTAAAGTGACTATGAGGCCCGTCTTGGTGGTTTTGGTGGTGCACCCCTCATCCCAGCACTCTGGAGGCTGAGGCAGGAGAATCGCTGTGTGTTAGAGGCCAGCCTGGGCTACATAGTGAGAGCCTGTCTCAAACACAAATTAAATAAAAAACAACAAAAAGAACCCCTGTCTTGCAAGATCTTGTAAGCATTGGAAATCGTGCAGAGGTCTGGCTTATGGGGAAGGCCTAATAAGGACAACACTTAGTATTTCAGCCTCCAGGTAATGCTGGCCTGCAGCAGGTGCTAAGGGAGGCTGTAGGAAGGCCTTCGCAGCAGGAGTGTGCAGGTCGCCCAGTTGGGGAGTTCTGAGTGCAGCCCTGGGGCCATCGAGTGGCCCAGCAAAGGCCTCAGGGGAAGAGTGACCTTCCCCGGCAGGAGGAGACCAAGCACCAGCTTCCGGGGCTGTGCGCCCACCCGCTGGCCCCGGAAACCCATGACTTGAGGCTGGCGTGTGAGGACGCGCACTCATCTGCTCACGGAAGACCCTGAAGCGGCATCCAGAATGTTCCCCGCCAACTTTCAAATCCTGGCCTCCTCATCCTCAGAAAGCGCAGTGGGCTTGGCGGCACACGTGTGTAATTTCAGCATTCAGAGGCTGAGGCAGGATGATTGCAAACTTAAGCCCAGCCTGGGCAGTTTAGTGACTTAGTGAGATGCTATGTCAAAATAAAAAATAAAAAGGGCTGGGAATGTAGGTCAAGGCAATGGGTCTTGGTTTCAAGGGACATTAACACAACAACATAAACCAAATCCCCATAAGCCTGCATAAGGTTTATCAAATTAACTGTCAGAATTTAAGTATTAGGAGATGTCACGCAAACACACACACACACAGAGTTTTGACTTCTCCCAGGACAAAACAAACATCCCTAAAATGTAGCAGTCCCAGACTGCCCTGCTGCCGAGTTCTGATGGTTCCCTGGCCTGCTTGAGCTGTCCCTGGAGCCCCTGTACACAAGGGAGTGGCTTCTTTTTTCTTTTTTTTGAGACAGGATTATACAGCCCACACTGGCCTCAAGATCGCAGGGATCCTCCTGCCTTAACCGAAAGCTGCTATGTACAAGTACTGTAGGCGGCTAAGCTATATAAATATTAATACACAGCCAGAAAGGGACTGGGCTCTCAGGGAAGACGGTGGAAGGTGGGGAGATCAGAACCGCAGTGGAGGTGGACGTGAAGAAGGCGAGCCTGAGAGCGAGGAGTGAGGTCACGATGGCCGGATTGACACCCTTCCCTGAGGGGTGAGCGGAAGCTTGAGATCTTGCTGTGACTGGTACCACCCCCTTGGGATTACCCACAGAGAGACCCTTTCCTCACTAGGCTGGGCCACCCTCACCCTCGCACCAAGACTGAGACTGAGACCGAGGCTCTCGACGATCTGCCAGCCATATGCTCTTGCTATGAGCCTGCCTCCCTCCTGGATCCATGCTAGCTAAGCGGCTATGTGATCTTACGGGCTGCTGATTTGAACCACGGTGTGCTCACCTCGTGACTTTGCCGTATAAAACATTCTTGGCGAGATGACCCACTCAGGACCCCCTGTCTCAGAGGAGCTGTTCCTGCTCCCCAATCAACCCTTCCTCCCCTCAACCTCCTTTGTCCTCTGGAACTCCTTCTTTGATTTCAGGGGACATGAGCTCGGCGTATGTGACATCTAGCAGGCTGGGAGTTATATTTCTCCTCCCCCACAAGCGCCCACTCCAGGACCTGTGACAACAGAAGAGGGAAGCGGCTTCTTGCATTTGCCCTGTCCCCGCACCAAAGAGAAGGAACAGGGATCTGTGGAAAGATCCCAGGCGCTGTCCGTTCCCTGCCTGACAGGAGCCAGAGCAGGGCTCTCTTCTTGCCGCTGCAGGGAGCAGGGCAGTTTTTCCCCCTCTCTCATCCTGCCGCGGAGTTCCTCACCAGCAGAAGGAAGTGTTCGGGTTCTCAAGGCCAAATGCTGAAATTTCATTATTTGGCACTCAGAGGTGTTGGAGAGTAGGTTCAGTAGCTCCAAAGTTGGGCTCCAGGAAGATAAAGAGCCAGCGTGGACCAGGAAGCGGGAACCTGGCTGCCCTCTGCCTGCGCGTCAGGGGCTCAGGGGACTCCGCAAGGTAACTGCGGTGCACCTCAGCCCGAGGGGGGCGTGCGGGGCTGCCTTGCTGAGGTGGACACCAGCCAGAACACAATGGCTTCAAAAAGGAGGAGAGCCTGGTGTGGTAGTCCACACCTGTAGTCTCAGCATTTGGGAGGCTGATACAGGAGGATCGCCATGAGTTCACGGCCACCCTGGGCTACATAGTGAGCTCAAGGCCAGCCTGGAAAACATAGCAAGACTCTTTCTCAAAAAAAAAAAAATCCCCAAACATAAATTAATAAACAGAAAGCCTGAGGTCACATAGCAGCAGTCCAGCCTGGTGCAGGGGCTCCATGATATTCCCCATGGCGCAGGTCCCCCACCTCCATGCTCCATCCTGGGGGCTGGCTCTCAGTCCCAGGACAGCTGCTGCAGCTCCAGCCATCCCACCCTATCTTGTGCACTGCTGTGACCAGCCTCCCATTTCTGAGCTGTGCTTAATAACTCACTCCCAATTCCTTGGCCAACACCGGCTGACATGGTCACTCTATCTGCAGGACTGCCTGGAAAACTTGGGGGCGTCCTTTTCGATGTTGGAGTGGCTGGGTGCATACTGCACCCAATAAATCTGCAAGCAAGTGAGAAAATGGGTATCAGACACCTGACAGGCTTTGCTGTGTGTCCTGCAGCAATGGAAGAGCTGGTTAAGGAGCTGGTAGTGGTACACTATCCTTCTGGCCATAGTTCTATTTTCCCCTGGGCACTCACATAGGTTTTATTCATTTACGTATCTATTTATTTGTAGATGGGGTCTCGCCATGTAATCCATGCTGGCCTTGAGCTCACTGTGTAGTTCAGGTTACCTTGAATTCACAGTGATCCTTCTGCCTCAGCCTCCCGTGTGCAGGGATTCCAGTGTGGCCACCACACCCGGCTCAGATAGGTATGGAAACACTTAGCTTATGAATAAAACATCACAGATGCAATTAAAACCGCTGTGTGACCCACTCCTGCCCGACCTCCTCCCTGACCCAGCCACAGGCAACCAGGATGATTCTACTCGTGGGTTTTGTGCTGACCCATGCTGCAGTGCACACATGTGTGTACCTGTGTGTCCACAGTCAGGGTCTTGGGTGCTTTGGAATTAACCGAGCGAGCTCTCCGCCTTCGCCTGCACTGCTCGTTGCCTCCTCTTCTGCTCCAGTACTTGTCTGTGTTGACACTTGTAGCTGCTGTGCAGCTCTCTGCTATGTAAATAGAGCGTCATTTATTTGTCAGTTCTGTCAATTCAAGTTGTTTGCAAACTAGGACAGCAAACGAGGTTCCCTTGTGCCTTCCTGTGTCTGATTTTCTCAAGTGCTCTCGAGGGAGCCAGGTGTGGTGGTGCACACCTGTAATCATAGCACTCTGGGAGGCTGAGGCAGGAGGGTCCCAAGTGCAAGCTCAGTCTGGGGAACTTTGTGCTGGGCGAGATCCTGTCTCAAAATAAAAAATAAAAAAAGGGCTGGGGATGTAGCTCAGGGCCAAGACCCTGGGTTCAGTCTCCGGTACAGCAAAACAAAGCAAACCTCTCCCTCCTGGACTGTCTAAGAGCAGCTGTCAACATCACATTGGCCACCCTGAAGACCGAGTGTGTTTCTGGTTCTCTATGACGATAGCGTCACCCATCAGGAAAGTCACACGGGTTGGACCCCTGCATCTGACTCTCAGAACCCAAGCCTGCTTCGCCAGTGGCCCCAGGGCTGCTCTTTGCGCCAAAGGATCTGGCTCAGGACCACACATCGCCTGAGCGCCCCTCAGGCCTCCTTTCTTTGGGTTCATTCCTCGGTCTTTTCATGACTGAGATGCCTGCACTGTTTTTTTCTGGGGAGATGGGACCCAGACCTTTCCCACTGAGCTACAGCCCTTTTAAACATTTACTTGGGCTGAGGATGTAGCTTAGTGGCACAGTGCCTGCCTGGCAAGCAGGAGGTCCTGAGTTCGATTCCTAGCACCAAAAAAAATTTTTTTTTGAGACAGAGTCTTGCTAAGTCTCTAAGTTGCCCCGGCTGGGTTTGAATTTGTGATCCTCCTGGCTCAGCCTCCTGTGACCCTAAGTATTCCATCCCCAACCTGCCAGCCATCGAGAGCTGAAGACTGTTTGTCTTTGGACTTTTTCAGGACTAAAAAATACTTTTTTCACAACCATTAAAAAATGCACAACAGTGGAAATTATCCTGAAAATCACCCCTCTGTCAGCTCTAATTCTGCCACCTTGCTGTGTAGATCTCCCAGCTATCACCAGAGGGCGCGCTAGAGCAGGTTTTTTTCACGTCTCCATGGAGACCACGAGTCTCACCGCCCCCCGCCCCCCCCTCGCTAACCCTGAAAAAGTCCTTGGCCAGAGACTGTGCCTAAACAGCTCAAGTATGAGCCCCAACGTGCTGGTATAAGAAAGGGATGTCAGCCGGGCATGGTGGCGCACGCCTGTGATCCCAGCACTCGGGAGGCTGAGGCAGGAGGATCACTGCGAATTCGAGGCCAGCCTGGGCTACATAGTGAGACCCTGTCTGAAACAACAACAAAGAAACAAAACGAAGGCAATAAGGGCGTGTCCTGAGAAACCCGGTGGAGACTCGGTTCCGTCCTAAGTCCTTGAAGCTGCTTGGTTTGGAAAGCCGAGGCTGCGCAGCGCGGATGCCTTCTC